CGTCAAACTTGCAACACTTACTCTTAGTACGGCTAAACTACACTAAATTAATTTTCCCGCTCAGTCTACGTGGCTTTTTTATATTGAATGTGCCGGTCCCCGGACTCGTACAAAGTCTTTCACCGAAACGAATAGTTAAGAATGTAATCATAGCTCATAGTCAATGTCCAATTCATTCCCCTTCAACCAAATCACGAACTATCAATACTTATCTTCACAATTAATGCATCCCCGAACTTATCCAAGAAGGCTCGGTCAGGACGTTCAATTCAATGTGACGTATGCTCTAGTTCAATGCCACCTAAGGATCACGTAATACACATAATCACTTTCTAAGTTCCAAATTATTTATTATTCATTCCAATGTGCTCTTATAAAGAGTCTAACGCAAAACGAATTGATATATGAAATTCACAATTTGTAGTAATATCCTTCAATAATCGAGAATTAAATCCCAAAAAAAGGAGATTATAGTCATTTATCATGATTTGATCGACCAATTTTGAGCTAAATATTTTTAATTTTCATCATTGACTTCGAAAGTATTTCTATTAATGTTACTTTAGGAACTTGCACGAGGTGTCTGGGAGCAATTCTTCAGCAATTTTAATCAACTTCTTTTACCGTTAACATTTGACAACTTTCGAACTCAATAATGTAGTCATAATTGTGTTTATTGTGCATCGTCAAGTTTGCTATCCAAGAATGGTCAAATATGACGATTGAGGAAATATGTATAAGTAATTTTAACATTTATCGAGGGTAAAAGTTGCAGCAAAATAGGATCCAGACAGACGATTAGTTTTAGTAATTTGTTTTGTACCTTGTTTTCAACCATTCGTGTAGCAGTATAATTCTTATATTCATTAACATCTTTTGACCATGTATGTATGCTTTTTCCGTAGTAAATAAACGAGCTTATCGCATATCCATTGAGATCTTGAAATTTAATGGCAAAATACAAAGCTAGTTGCCATCTCACACGCACTTAGACCCTGATTGGTCTAGATAAAATTTATTTTCGATAGATTTTAATAAAAGTTCATGAAATGTATGATTGAAAAGTTTATAAAAGTTGTGGATCATATGAAATATGTGATTAAAAAGTTGATAAAAGTTATGAATTCCATAAAACGTGAAATTGAAAATGAGTTTAAGAAAAAATAATTTTTTTTAAAAAAAATGGGGAACAAACTACATTGAATTGATGTTAAGAAATTAAGCTCCCTATTTGGTGGGAATTAAAATCATGTTTTTAGAAAAATTTGATAAAAATTGATGAAATATGCAGTTGAAAAGTTGTGAATCTTATAAATCCTGTAATTATAATTTAATTAACTTTAATTTAAATTAAAATCTATAAATTTTAATTTTTATCAAAGATAGGCTAAACTTTTGTTTGAACCTCATTTTGAGAAAAAAACGCATTTTTGAATTGTGATTTTTGGAGGATGTGTGGTTAAAAATTAATTTTTTTTTCGATTTACGTGTAATATTATTTTATTTGAAAATGTGTGATTGAAAATGAATTTTGAAAAATGCGGCTCAAACCACCCTAAATAAATTATAGAGTCGTAATCAAACGTCCTACCCACGTGTGGGGTGGGGCACCGTACAGCCTGGTATTTTTATCATCTTTGAATAATGGTGCATGTATGTTGAATGCTTCACTCTTCGGTAATTACGTGAAAATGACACCTTATTAACACTCAACATGACGTAAATCAATTCCTAAACCATTTTTCTAATCATGCCTCAATCATT